AGAGAGAGAGAGAGAGAGAGAGAGAGAGAGAGAGAGAGAGAGAGAGAGAGAGAGAGAGAGGTTACAGGCAAAGCTTACATCGGGCATGAGGCCCAAGATCTTATTCGACATTTTTGTCGCAGACATTGATTCGGCATTCAGCAAGAAGAGTATTTTTGGACATCGCTATCGCGATCTTGGTCTTCTCCCTCACCTCAATCTTTGTCTCTCCTCTCCCGCATCTCTTCATCCGTGGTATCTCCCCCACGTGTGTGTGCAAGGAGGGACCTTTCTTCCATGTATGTCATCCCTCCTCCCTCTCTCACATGTGTGGTGTATGATGGGATGTCGCGTCAATCTCGGATAGGTCAGGTCATATCTTTGAGTCTCTTGTTGTGCTACGTTGTGCTATTTTCATATATATTTAGATGTACATTGCTTGTTGATGCTTTGCTGACACTGCATTGTCCATTCGGGTCCTTTTCATCACTTTGCAGATCCTTGGTTCCCCATACATTGCTCGACTGAGCATGTATCAGTTGGTATCGGAGCCCCACACGTGAATCATGACTAATTTCGGACCTGACGCGCGATTGAGGACATCAATCGATTGATCGATTGACTGATTGATCGATTGATTGATCGATTGATTGATCGATTGATTGATCGATTGATTGATTGCTACTTGGGCTTGATCAGCCCAGGTAGTGCCTGCATCCGGGGCTTGTCACGCTGACAAACCTGACAAGTTTCTACATACTTCTTTGCATCATCCATCATTGTGGGCCACCAAAATTTCTGCACAGAGTTTTCTGCTATCTTTTCATAGCCAAAATGATCAGTTGCATCTTGACACTCTCCTAAAAATAGACTATGCAAAAACTCTCTATTTGGTACGCAAAAACATTTATTACCTGCCTTCTCAAGGACAGTTCTGGTTCTTCCCCTTTCTCTCCTCCTTCTTTTCCTCTAGTTGTTCTCCTTTGGTCCATTCCTTTCAGATGTTCGGCAACATAGCGATCAAAGGCCAATCACCCTTTCTTGATGAGTTCTTCAACTCGGTTATTGGTTTCCAGCATCTGAATGGCAGTCTCAGTGGCATTCAGTTCGTCTTCTGCACCGAGGAGATTGAACTGTCCGTGAACATGCCATTCAGATTCCTGTCCGGTTCCATGTACCTCGCCAAGCAACTGGCAGAGAAGGCCTGTCAGTATTTGCTTCTCACATTTATCTGACCACGGGCTCCCCCCTTCTTCATCGGCATAGACAGTAAGAGGAATAGGAAAGAAGAAAAGAGGGATGTATCTCGTGAGAATGGAGCCACACAAACATTTCCAGAGATAAGTCATGTTTCCCAACGTGTGAATGTCGCACAATAAATAATTAGAAAACAATTTAACAATACTATTAAAATCCACAGCCACACTCAATTTCAATCTCCTACAGCAAGAAATAATAACGAGAAATAAGAAGAAACAGATTTCAATTATTGTCTATTTCTAACTTATGTTGTTTGTCCTATGTGTGATGACGTCCTTACGAGAGTGCACAGGTACAGCAGCCACGGCCAGTGTGATCAAGACACAACAACACAGGTGAGTATGCACGACAACCACAGAACAACTAAGACAAGTGAGTGAGTCAGCCAACACAATCAACAACAATCAATTGTCAGCATCCTTTCCTCTTTGACTGCATCATCTGCAGAAACCAATGCGGCCAGACACAAGGGCTGACGCGTGGCACTATGACATATCGTGAAGCTGTACCGCCCGCCAGCACATAAGTGCAAGTGTCACTTCCTCACCCCCGGCAGCGCACAAATCTACCATGTGTCACCCCTGGAATGCCAACACAGCAGCTCCACGGAGTCTGCCATGTCAGTGTCAATGACCAGTAAGGCTTTTGGGAGGGATGCCACGTCAGCAATGCACGAACTGCCCACTCATCTACCACTGGTATGCCAAGTCAGATTGAAGTAGTACTACTGGAGTGTGGAGCGCCACGTCAGCAGGTAAGTCGCGACACAGGTACGTGCCAAGTCAGACAATACCCTGCCAATCCTAGGATGCCACGTCAGCAACCCTGCACTATGCCACGTAGGCAGCACGCCACATCAGCAGCCTCGATACCCCTTCTCTCTCTCACCAGTGCCACGTCAACCTGCAGCCAAAGATGCTCTTGCCGGTATCTTGCCAGGTCAGCAACAAAGCGCCATGTGAGCAATGTCGCCGCCCTCACTTCAAGGTGTCCATATCATCATCTTTAAGGGAGCGTGTGCACGCCCGTGGAAGCCAATGTCTAGACTCGCGATAAAAATCGTGCGCATTAATAAACGCGTTTCTCTCCTATCACTCGCGGCACCTCCCACTTACCTGGGCGCCACGTGGCACCTAACAGCAGATTGATATGAAGAACGTAAGCTCTGATACCAAATTGCAATGAACCCAGTCTACAGGATACTCGTCAGATGTCGAAATACAGAGATCTCAGTTCTGAATAATGTCTCCAAATAATCGTGAATGTGATCTGTGATACAATGTCTGGTAACCAATAGACGACGAGAGGAGAGGGGGAATAGACAGACTAGAGGGTGTAAGAGATATCCATCAATGACCACAGAGATAGCAGCCAAACAATACCCTCTCCTTCTCCTGGCTTTCCTCTCGCCTTCATGTCAACAACAGTGTCCAATAACCAGCCTGACAAGTCAGATCACATCAAGAGTGCCACGTGGTAGAATTCTCTCATGAAGACGTTCAGCAGCCTCAGTATCGCCGTCAACAGCAGGTAAGTATCCCGTTCTCTCTCAATCATCCACAGATCCCGATCTCCCTCCTTGTCGCGTCCAACTCAGCAATGTAGACTGTGTGGCAAATGCCACGTCAGCACTCAAGACAGAGTGGCATGTGCCACATCCGCAATGTCGAAGATAGCGTGGCCTTGCGCCACGTCAGAGAGGCTGGCGCTGAAGCAGGAAGCGCCAGCGTGCAAGCAAGCAGCAGTCTCGCGTCGTCGTCCACAGTGCCAGCGTCAAGCCAGCGTCAGCCAGCATCACGTCAGCATAGCAAAACTGAATGTTGACTCCCTGGAGGCCAGGCCTTATGTGATGTTTGACGAGGCTAAGCGGCCTCAGGTCTCCCACCCACGGTGGCTCAGATTGACTCACAGCCGAGGGCCTGGATCGCATACAGTTGCAGACTTCCACTTGGTTGGAATGCTGTCTTCGTACCTGCATACAAACAAGGGTGTGTGTCTCACCGGCAGCCCGGGCTGGGTGCATACAGACTTTGAATCTTGGGTCACTTGGCAGTTGACTGAAGTCAACTGTCGGGCGCACAGGCCCTGGCCGATTTGGGTTTTTTCCTCCTCTTGGCCTTTGCGGCCTCAGACCGGAGTCGCGGCCTGTGTGTGGCCTTAGGGCCACTTCAGGGCATATCGAGCGGGGTATTGCAGGTATAACAATATAACCTTATAATAGGCTTATATATAATATAAATTGCAATACAAACTATTATGAAGTACAATATTACGTTATAGAATGTTGAGGGAAGATTCAGAAAGAACGGAAAGAAGAATCACAACAACAGGAAGTTCAAAGATGATGATGACAATCAAGAGTCCTAAGAGGATGGTGGCAAGGAGTATCAGGAGATATGGTAATGAGAAGCATAGGTAAACGGTGGAGATGGAGGATCACAGCATGAGTAGGGAAGCGGATTGTCAGAAAGAACATGAAAAGGCTCTGGACTGAATTTACATTTTAAAGGCTCAGAGCCTCCTTGACAGTAGGTGGTTTCCCAAAGCATCAACGGGTGGGGAAGGAATTACCTTTGCCTTCAGTTCCTCTAGTGTTGGGCAATAGGAGAAGTTGTTCTCCACTACACAGAATTTGATCTTGAACATTGGAGTCATAAACTGCCCTCTGAGCTCTTGCTGCAATCCAGCAGTTAGTTGGCTCACTTCTTGGGAAACTGGCATCACCAGAGATTTTGTGATCTGGCTTGCGATGGCGGGTGCTGTGCTAATTGTTTCACTGTTGGCCTCTGTCTGGAGAATTCTACTTCCATCGAGTGGTTGCAGAATGTCATCCTTTTTGGGACTTTCCTCAGTCATGCTTGCGCCAGCACCAGTCTGTTGTAACAAGCTCTCATTTTGTAGATTGATGGGAACACTGACATGACGCCCAATCGAACAAGGGATAGCTTGGTTTAATGCTGTGCCAGATCCTTCTGCATTATCCTTTTGGGGATTACTGCGGATATGGCTGCTCATCTGTTTCATGGTCTGCCTCAGACAAGTCTGTTCTCCAATGTTAAGCTGCCCACCACTGTCATTGAGAGATTCCTCCAAGTCTGCAACACCTGGAACATTGCTTGATTTCTCCACCAAAATAACAGGTACAGTCCTTGGGTCTTCATTATGAGGAAAATGACATTGCTGTTCTACCCTCCCGTCTGATGCAAATTCCTCCCAGAGCTCTGAATATCCTCTGATAGAGTTAACTGTGACAAGTCTAAGATCCTCCCTCATCATGAACGAAATTCTCTTCATGAATCTCAGAAGCCGAGCTTTCACAGTTGCAACAAGCTGCGATGTCGATGGTGTTAAATCCTCAAGCATACCCACTACCTTGGGGACCCAGCTGTTGATTGAGTTTCAGAACAAGAACATAAGAAATATAGAATACAAGTCATTGTCAGTAAACTTCACAGAAAAATACAGTTTACCCGTTTGATAAAGGTCATTCATCTCTCTTCCCTTCCTGGTCCTCCTCTTCCACCTCCTCTTGTTGTTGTTGTTGTTCCTCTTCTGCTTCTTCTGCTTCTTCTTCTTCTTCTTCTTCTTCTTCTTCTTCTTCTTCTTCTTCTTCTTCTTCTTCTGCTTCTGCTTCTGGTTCTTCTTCTGCTTCTTCTTCTGCTTCTTCTGCTTCTCCTTCTTCTCGTTCTCCTCCTTCTCCTCCTCCTCCTCCTCCTCCTCCTCCTTCTTCTTCTTCTTCTTCTTCTTCTTCTTGTTCTTCTTCTTCTTCTTCTTCTGCTTCTTCTTCTTCTTCTTCTTCTTCTTCTTCCTCCTCCTCCTCCTCCTCCTCCTACTCCTCCTCCTCCTACTACTCCTACTCCTCCTCCTCCTACTACTCCACCTCCACCTCTTCTTTTTCTTCTTCTTTGAAAAAAAGCATTTTTTTATTATAAGGGCTAAAGTGTTACATGCTGCGCCTGCACACGGGCCCCATTTCAGGGGCCCGACGGTTGCTGAGGGCCCCCTAGGCCGCATGCCCATCACACACGTGCCCTGGAGGCTCACGGCGGCCCTTAGGCCGCAGGTGCAGATTTGCGACGACATTCATTTATTTATTTATTTATTTGTAAGCTGTCCTATTTTTGTCTGTTCAGATGTCGTTTCGGACTTGCAGTCCCCAAGGCCGTACCTTGGGCCATGGACACCAGGAGGCAGGGCCTTCTGGGCCAGGTGCAGGGTCTGGATGTCCGGTCAGGACCCAGACCCGAGAGGCCCATGATTTTGGGCAAGGCCAGAAGCACACGGAGGTAAACCGGCCGGCCCAGCGCTGTATATAGCTGGGTCACGGCCAGGACAGACACACAGTTTGAGTAGCTCACTTCTTGGGCGACATGCTGTTGGAGCAGCACTGGGGCTACAGCGCTACGCACAGATAGACGTAGCGGCGTAGGTAGGCAGAGGGGCGGAGTACATACCTGCAGCGACGGACTTACCTTGCGCCATAGCTGGGACTACGCGCGGCAACCTGCACATGACGACACCAACGACGGTCAGTCCAGCGGCGGTTCCCTGCAGGTGAGACCGAGAGGAGGACAACGTCTTCTTCTTCTTCTTCGTCTCCATCTCTTCTCCCTCCTACCTTCTTCTTCTTCTTCTTCTTCTTCTTCTTCAGAGAGAGAGAGAGAGAGAGAGAGAGAGAGAGAGAGAGAGAGAGAGAGAGAGAGAGAGAGAGATTTCAGGCAGAAGTTACATCGAGCATTTAGCCCAGGAACTGATCCGACATTTCTGTGGCAGACATTGACTGGACACTCGGCAAGGGGCTATTTTTGGACTTCACTATCGTGATCTTGGTCTTCTCCCTCACGTCCATCTTCATCTCGCCTCTTCCCCCATCTCTCATCCGTGGTATCTCCCCCATGTGCATGTGCAAGGAGGAACCTTTCGTCTGTGTATGCGGTCCCTCCTCCCTCTCTCACATGTATGGTGTTTGATGGGATGTTTCGTCGGTACCAGACGGGTGAGGTCATATCTTTGAGTCTTCCGTTGCGCTACATTGTGCTATTTTGTATGTATTGGGATGTACATTGCTTGTTGATGCTTGGCTGACATTGCATTGTCCATTCTCGTCGTTTTCAGCACTCTGCGGATCCTTGGCTCCATATACATTGCCCAACTAGGCATGTATCAGTTGGTATCGGGCCCCCGCACGTGAATCAGGACATCAACCTTATCTGACGCACGGACGGGGACGATCGATTGATTGATCGATTGATTGATCAATTTATTGATTGATTGATTGATTGACTGATTGATTGATTGATTAATTGATTGATTGATTAATTGATTGATTGATTAATTGATTGATTGATTGACTGATTGATTGATTGACTGATTGACTGATTGATTGATTGGTTGATTCCGATCGATTGACTGGTTGATTGATTGATTAATTGATTGAATGGTTGGTTGACTGATTGATTGATTAGGTCACCCTAGTTAGTTCCCAATTCGCAATTTTTAGCCTTACTGCCGATTCTGAAAAAAAAAAAAATCTTTCTTCGGCATTTCTGTCTTTGGGTCACATCCGTTTTTTTAGCGTCTCGCGAATTCCAAAACTGCGCAGCAACCGAAATTTTCCGTTTTTTTGTTTTTTTTTTCGTTGTTTGATGGATCCGACAATTTCCTAACCAGCTGCACCTAGGATGGAAGCCTAGATCAGCATTAGACTTCCTCCTACCTGAAAACCGACCCGCTGCAACTCCAGGCACACTTGAATACGGTGTGCAATATGAGAAATTGCTGCAAGAGGCTGTTGAACATATGAAGAAGGCTCAGCAAGCTATGATTGCTTCTGAGAATCAACATCGCAGACAGTCCACATTTCAGGTAGGGGAACGTGTCTGGGTCAAGGCTAGCGAGCTAGGACAGGAATTCGGAATCTCTCGCATGTAGTGCCTCAGCAAGTGCTGTACAACTCTATTCATTTGTTCGGCCTGTCCGTTGGCTTCGGGATGATTCCCTGAAGTCATCTGAAGTTGACTGCCCATCTGTTCCGCAGTCTTCTTCCACAGCTCACTTGTGAATCGGACGTCTCGGTCACTAATGATGGTCTTTGGTAAACCAAAGTCCCTTACCCAGTTGTCCTTGAACAACTTGATGACGTATTCCGTCCTGGCTCTCTCTGGCATTGGTATTAGTCTAGCGTACTTGGTGAATCGGTCAATGATGACGAAAATGTGAATCTTACCACTCTTGCTGGAAACACCCAATTCTGGACCATCAGGAATAGGTAAAGGCTTCAATAACCCAAGCGGTGCTTGAGTTCGCGGCTTGTCCCGCTGACAGACCTGACAGGTCTCAACATATTTTTTTGCGTCATCTAACATTCTGGGCCACCAAAATCGCTGTACTAAGTTACCACTCGTTTTCTTGTAGCCAAAGTGCCAAGTTGCGTCATGACATTCGCCTAAAAATAAACTATGCAACTGTTCACTAGATGGAACTACCAATCTCTTTACTCCGGCCTTATCAAGATAGATTAGCCCATCCACCATCACAAACTCACTTTCTGTGGCCTTGTCTTTTGCCTGAAGTTTGCGGATGATGTCCGTCGTGACAGGGTCTTCCTGATAGGCTCCCACCAATGATTGAGTCACTTCGTTAGATACGCCAAATTCAGAAACTAGCGTACCTAGGTAGTCTGCTCTACGGGATAGCGCGTCTGCAACCTTGTTATACTCTCCCTTCAGGTACTCAATCTTGAAGTCATATTGGTCTATGACCTCAATCCATCGCTTGAGTGCATCAGAAAGAGCCGGTTGAGTCTTGATCCATTTGAGGGTTTGATAATCAGTCCTCAGATAGAAGAACCTTCATAGAAGGAAGTGTCTCAAATGGACAAGTCCCTTGTAGAGAGCATAGAGTTCCCTTTCGTAGGTAAACTTAGCCAACTTCTTCGATGACATCTTCTTGCTCATGTACTCAATCGGTCTCAACTTTTTCCCATCCTGCTGAGCTAGCACTGCGCCAATGCCGTATTGGCTTGCGTCAATGGTCACTATGAATGGCTTTTGCGGATCGGGAACCATGAGAAGTTCATGATTTATGAGTGCATGCTTCATTCGCTTGAAAGCACCTTCGCACTCATCACTCCAGTCCCACGGCGTGTCAAGTCGAGTTAGATCTGTCAAAGGAGAGGCGGTTGTAGAATAGTTCTTTACGAAGTTCCTATAGTAGCCGCACATTCCTAAGAAAGATCTGACCTCAGTGACTATCTGAGGTCGTGGCCAGTCTCGAATACTAGCCACCTTCGCATCTTCCGGCCTAATCTCTTCCGCGGATACTTCATGACCCAAGTATAGTATCTTAGTGCGGCCAAACTCGCACTTCTCTAAGTTGACCTTATACTTGTGTTGTCGCAGGAGTGAGAGTACTGTCTCAACATGTTGTGCGTGCTCCTCGGCAGACTTACTAAAGATCAGAATGTCGTCTAGGTAGACCACGACAAACTTATCTAAATGGTCATGGAAGATCCGATTCATAGCGTGCTGGAACGTACCCGGCGCATTACAAAGACCAAAAGGCATCACTACAAACTCATACAGACCATAACGAGTCTGAAAAGTTGTCTTGTGTTGGTCCTCATGTCTTATTGCGATCTGGTGATATCCGGATTTCAAGTCTATCTTTGTATAGTACTTGCATCCCTGCACCCTATCCAATAGGTCGTCTATGCGAGATAGGCTCTGCGTTTTTCACAGTGATGGCATTGAGGCCTCTATAGTCAATGCACATCCTCAAAGTACCCCCCTTCTTCGGTACGAATAGAACGGGTGATCCGTAAGGGGAAGTACTAGGCCGAATCCAACCCTTCTCTGTCAGCTTCTTAAGCTGTCGCCGAAGTTTATCTAACTCGGCGGGGGCCATCCTATAGATCCTTCCCTTTGGGGTCTTACTCCCTGGAATGATTTCTATAGCGTGGACGACTTCCCTTTCAACAACTCCTGTGGGCTCCTCGAACAGATCAGTGAACTTAGCAACGACGCGTTCTATCTCAGGGGGTGTTTTAACGGCCTCCCCCTTCTCAGAGACATAAACAAGGTACATACCCTCCTCTTGGTTCTGTTTATAGTAATTGTAGAACGCTGATGCATACAAGCAGCCATAGGTATCTACTATACTGCTGGCCTTGAACTTAGTCAATCTGACAGTTCGGCCATCGGGCAACTTATGTTTGAGCACCTTCTTATCCCWGTCAAACTGGGGCTCAGCAACTTCGAGGTAGTACATGCCTAACAACATATCAAATGGCAAGTCGTCGCTAACCAAGAACGAGATCTTATGGTTAAGCTCACCTCCTCCATAGGAGAAGGTACAAACTACGTCCTTGACGTAGTCTGTTACAATCATGCGCTCCTTGTTGGCCAAAGTAGATGCTACAGGTCTACTAAGGTGCCGTACCTGGTCCTGTAGGTGCAACCTTTCCAAACAGTCGCGAGTTATGTAATTCCGCGTGGAGCCAATATCTATGAAGGCACCACATTTGCGGCCTCCTACATCGACCTCCACCACGAAATGTTCATCTCTAGGACCTTTCCTCAGTGCCACCCAAGACTCGCGAGGGTCCTTGTTTGACCACTCACTCTCTAAGTCCTCTAAGGCTTCAGACACATCTAATGTACAGAGCATAGTTTGGTCTAGTTGTGTCTGCGGGGTGACTAAGGGGTCATTAGCCTTGGCCTTGTCATGAAGTAGGGAGGGTATCAATCCTACTTCATCTTGAGCAGAAGCAGCTACTACTTCCACTGGCCTCACGTGTTTCCCAAGCTAGAAGCCTGGGAATAAGTTGCCCCTACTTTTGGCGCAACCTTTTGCGTAACCTTAGCGTTCTGACACTTCCACTGCGTGTGTCCGTATTCTCCGCAGTTGATACAAGCGCCACGCATTCGGCGGTCACGCCACACGTCTTGATCAAGACCTGCCTTTACCCACTCAGCCTGTTTGGTCTGATTGGAGGCGGCCTTCCCTTGACCCCTAGGTTGACCCTTCCCTCGGCCACGTGCCTTAGTCTTTACTACCACGGCAAGGGTGCTACCCTCAGCTACCTCCTCGCCGTCATGCTCTGTATAGTCCATCAGGTCAGAGAGTTCGTCAATCTCAGTTTGAGTCCCATTAGACTCAACCATCATCAACTTTGCTCCCTTCTTCTTCCACTCCTGAGGACTCTTCTTCTTCTTTGAGTCACTCTGTGAGGTGGGTTGAGCATTGCCTAGAGTGGCCTCTAAATCTAAGGCCTTCCTAGACAGTGTCTCAAACGAATGGTACACAGTGCGTGCCTCGCTGGCCAATAAGTTCCTGATGTTCTCTGGTAAACATCTAACAAACGTAGTTAGCAGGAACTGGTCACTGTAGTCGATGCCTGGGACGAGGATCAGGCTCTCAACGGTAGTCGTAAGCTCCCTAACTAACCTGAACTTGCGTTGGTCAAGTTTGTTAATGGCATCAGTGGCCCTTTGCACCTCCTGCGGATTATGCCATCGAGCTTCTACCATTTCCATTAATTGGTCTAAAGTCAAAGACTTAGCCCAATCCGCCATGCGTCGCCCGTACCCGGCCTTCACAACTACACCATCTAGCCACTTGGCTGCCTTACCCTCAAGGTAGGATGCAGCAGTTACCACTTTGTCCTCAGGCAAGGTCCTTTTGGCCTTCACCCAAACCGGGACCGTCCTCAACCATGTGTTGAGTTCCTTGTCCTTTCTCTCGCCTGAGAAGGCAAGAGGCGGTTTCATTGGGGTCTTGGGATACCATTGACCTTGCGGCTGTCCAGATTGCTGAACAGGTTGTTGCGGTGGTGTAGCTCCCACCGCTGGACCCGAAGAAGAAGATGCAACAGTCCGTGCGACTGCTGCAGACGTACCACTTGGTTGTGTGCCAACTTGTACGGCAAAGGGGCCTGACATCGCCGTTAATGGCAACGGCAATTGTGCTGGTGGCCGGAATCCTGGCTTTGTCAATGCACCCAGGATCTGGTCCAAAGTGCTCTGCATGAAGTCCATCCTGCTGTCTACGTGCGCATGCAGTGACAACATGTTGTTCTTCAACACTTTCAGGGGGTCAGAGAAACCTGTTTCGTCCAATCCCTCTAACGCAGCCTTCTCAGCCTCTAATGTATCAAGTCTGGCCGCTCTACTTTTTATCTCTTTTTCTCTATCGGCTGCTTTCTTCAGATCCTCCTCTAACTGCTGGCGGAGCCTCTCGACCTGTTGGATCTCCCTGAGCCCCCTTTCACGTGGGGTGAACGGGCTGAACTGCGAGCCCACCATTTGACTAGAAGACTGTCTAGAACCTGTTGAACCGGAAGTGTCCGTGGAACTTGTGGAACTTATTGGCATTCCCAAATGAGTCCCATTAGTCCCTGACGAGGACGCAGCAGAGCTTGCGCCATTAGCCATTGCTGCTGCTCTGGTTGTTGTTGCCTACTCTCTAGCTGCTGCGTTTGCTGCGGCTATCCCCGCTGCTAGAGCACAGGCTCTACGTTCGACACGAAGTCGTCTTTCTTCTCCCTCGTCTAAGGTCCTGAACACGTGCGGAACCCTTAATGCTTCCGAACGTGTAAGTCTCCTATTGTCAGCTCTATCATCAACAGGATCTGACCCACTCATTAGTTAGGCAGATAGTGTCTACACTAGAATCCCCTAATGGAATCCTACCGCAACATGTATCTGACCGGCATGTAATTTTCTACAAATAGTTGTGTCCGGCGAGTTCCCTACTATACCGAATCAAGTGGCATGTCTACAACATTCACACAAATTGTCTACATTGTCTAGATGCACCCTGATTGGTTCACTTACAACAGCCTTAGTTAGAACTGGCTATGGTAGCATACAACAGTCCTACACTAATCTGTCTGTGAGGTTAGCAGTCCGTCAACCAACTAATCAAAGGTACAAAAAGACAATGAAGCAGATGTATGATTGATGGGTATGGTTGTGTATGCAGTTGAGCACCAATTGGAACCTGCCCTTCCCCTTAATCCAACCATTCGAACAGCATCATTGAGCGAGCAGTGTCTTCGTGTGTGTATCGGCCCACCCCTGTGCCCAAGTTGTCACCGAGCAAGCCAGCCCAACCACTCTTATTTACCCTCGTACGGCGACGAGCCTTCCTGTCCATGTGATCTGGCTGATCAGGAGGAATTTATAGAGCGCCCCCATCTCTGCAGGAACTATTTAACGTCGTAGTCAGGACGACGATCACAGCCTGATTCACGATGAACTCCCAACCAGAAATGTTTATAGACGGTCTGGTAAGCATCTGTCATGGGCTGGCACACCCGGAGGAACTTCTATTAGCGCAGCAAGTGCCAAACAGGACAGCAGCCATCGCATGCGTGCACTACTCCCTGTGGGTTGGCATGGTGACCGTGACCCAGTGCTTCGACCAGGGCCCTTCAGAGGCACCGCCCTTTCTCCTTCCAGATGCTTCCGGGAAGATTGTCGTCTCTCAAGGTAGCGCGCTCACGACACCTCACCAAAAGAGAGGACTCTCAAGTTGGACTCAATTCCTCATGGTAAGAAGAGATTGAGAGAGTAGATAAGGTAAGGGATCAACATACCTGGAGATAGCTGCCCCCAACCACATATTTCTCACCAATTGAGCTGAACGTGCATTTGATGACCGGTCTTGACATCGGTACCACCCACAACGCAATGCAGTGCCACCTCAGCCGAATGCAACATCAGCATGCTCTAATCACCAATCATACATTCCGCATGTATCCACGGCATACACTGTCGTATTAGCCTTCCGGTGCACCCCTCTCTACCCAGGGCGTGTACCTAGTGTGGCCTGACGTCACAAGTACCCACTGCGAAGAAGCATCGTCAACGCACCAAGTCTGTATAACGCCAGCGTGCCAAAGGTAAGTGGCGATCAAACCAGCTCCGATACCAAATTGCAAGGAACATGAGTATGGATGAAGCACAGAAATCCAGAATGCAAAATCACACTGAAGTCCAAGTAGTCAAAGCCAAAGCAGATAGCACATGGAGCCGAGTAACCATCCAATTGAGAATGATACAGAAGAATCGTGAGTCAATGTCCATGCCCAACAGGGCAACACCAACAGCATAACCCAAATGTAGCTCTCTCTTGTGAATGGCGCCAGGCGCCCTATCTACTCTACAACTATCCTACAACTACAGCAATGAAAAGCAACCATCTACTTGACTACCAGCGAGTGATGATGTCAACACCAATGCCGACCTCCACCTTCACCAGGCACGTGTCCTCTTCCCCACACTCTCCCTTGTTACCCACACAGCGCCCTTCACCTCCAAAGTACCACCTTCGCCTTTCACCTCTCCTACACCCTCATGCGGCCCGGCTATGGCCGCCAGTGCCTTGCGTGCAGGCAGCGCCCTACTGCCTAGCGCTGGCCTTCTTGCTCTTAGCTCAGCACTGCTTTGCACAGCGCAGCACACATGCATCCGCGCAGCGTGCCCGCAAGTGCCAACATTGGCCAAGATCCCTGCCAACTCGCCCTGCTTGCCTATATGCCAGTGCAGCGTGTGGGCGGCCTTCCTTCAGCCTGTGACCGGGGCCCAGAGGCTGAAGCCTACCCGATACAGTTGGGCCCCGRAGCAATGCAGTTGCGCCTCTCTCATCAAGGCCTGCGGCCAGATTCAGATAGTGGGCCGATTTCCCTTTGGCATTTTCGGCCTCTCTACCCAGCATGCATTGTCGCCCTCACGTTCGAGTGCCCAGGGCCTAACTAACTCAGAGGCCCTGGGCATTTCAGCATTTGCTGAAATCCGAGACTCGGTGCACTCCAACCA